TCCCGTCGACTCGGAGGTTTGCATGGTATGTTCACTGTTAACGATCATCCTTCTCCTTATGTCTCTACCTGAGTTGAAACTTCTGTCTCTCTCCTTTCAGGTGTCGGCAACACGCAATTAATAGTTGACGCACCGATTTTAAGTCGTCAAAATCATCAAGAAATTCCTTGAGAGTCTGCTTGGAAGTTCGAGGACGTAAGGCACATGCCTTGTCTATACTTATACTCGTAGCTGAGTCCACAACCCTCTCCTGTTCTATTGCGACTTCCAAATTACGTCTAAAAGCCTCAAAATCTCTTTGTAATGATACCATTGCTTGCTCCATTGCCTTTTTTTGGATCCGCAAACCTTCCAATTTTTCGACTAGATGTTCGACTTTGCTGACGGTCGATGTCGTCTGGGAATCACTTGGAGATGGAATCCGCAAAACATTACAATTTTCGGAGACTTCGTCTAGGTGTTTTTAAATCAGAAACGCAATATTTTCCTACAAATTTCTCAGATTCATCTACTAAACCGTTGACGAACGAAGGACTTTACCAATAAAGGCCCAAAAAGTAACCGAGTCATCGACAGATTCATTTCAGTCCTTGTCAGTCAACTCTGTCAGATGTCTCACGATAGCTTCTCTTCCATGATTTAACCCTTTCATGGCCAGTGGGACACATACGTCCCACCTACTTCAAAAAATCATAACTTTCTTAAAACTTAATCGATTAACTCCACTAAGATCTCATTTTGAAGGGGAGGGATAGAGTAACAAATGTAAATACATGTATTTTTTTAAAAAACTACCCTTTTTGAAATACACCCCTTCAAAAAACCCGAAAAATGAGAAAAATGAAAAAACAGGTATAAATTTCAGAAGAAATTTTTTTTTCAGGCTTTCATAGTAACATATGTTTAAAAATATTGCAACCTTTGTAAAAAAAAATTAATATTAAAAATTCAACCCGAGGGTGCAGAAAAATAACTAAAACTACCCCTAAAAACCAAAACCTTTAAAAATTAATAAATTCGCTTGAAAATTGTTACTTGGAGGTTTTCGGGGTCGCTGATTACGAATCCGATGTCCGTTTTCAAAAATTCAAAATGGCGGATCCAAAATGGCAACCTATAATTATAAAAAATTACTAGATTCGCGTGAAACTTATCACTCGGGGGTTTTCGGGGTCGCTGATTACGAATCCGATGTCCGTTTTCAAAAATTCAAAATGGCGGAACCAAAATGGCGACCGATAATTATAAAAATTTACTACATTCGCGTGAAACTTATCACTCGGGGGTTTTCGGGGTCGCTGATTACGAATCCGATGTCCGTCTTTAAGAATTCAAAATGGCGGATCCAATATGGCGACCGATAAATATAAAAATTCACTAGATTCATGTGAAACTTGTCACTTGGGGGGTTTTCGGGGTCGCTGATTACGAATCCGATATCAGATTTAGAAAATTGAAAATGGCCGATCCAATATGGCGGACGAAATGATTAACTTTCATTAGATTCATCTGAAACTTATTACTCAGGGGTTTTCGGGGTCGATAATTACGAATATGATGTCAGTTTTTAAAATTGCAAAATAATGCTGGTGTCATTATTGCCTATTAATTTTGTAGCTTTTAGTGCCTGTAGTTAGGAGTTTAGTATGAAAATGAAAATTACAGACCCAGGCTCAATCGGTGAGGTAGTGGGAGAACGCTACACAGAGAAAACGAAACAACGCGCTGATTGCCTTATAACAGCAGTTCCACATGGGAGCTTCTTTGCTACTGTCGTACCCCCCCCCCCCTTTCATTTACCCAATGCACTCCCCTCTACGCCATCGTGGAGGGGAGTGCATTGAGTATGTACTCAATGCATTACTCAATATGATAATAATCAGTGAAAATTATTTTTTTGATTGTTGAAAACTGAATTCAGTATCTTATAACTTATGAATTAGGGGTGGATTTCAAGGGTAGGGGGTGAGTTTATTATTATTATCCATATCTGTGAAACATTGAAATACTTTTTTACAATTCAGAAGCACTTAGAATCCATTTAATTTTTTTCATTTATTCACAAAAACATTTATCATTAAGGGGTGGTTATTTGACTTAAGGGTTGTTTTTCAGGGGTTGTTTATATTCAGTATTAATACTTAGTTATCATAGAAATTTTTTTTTTCATACTTTCGAAAATCAGTGAAAATTATTTTTTTGATTGTTCCAAACTGAGAATAGTTATGAATTAGGGGTGGGCTTCAAGGGTAGGGGGTGAGTTTATTATTATTATTATCTATGTCTGTGTAACTTTCAAAGAATTGTTTATAATTTAGAAGCAATTAGAATCTATAGATTTTTTTAATCATTTACAAAAACTTTCACCGTCAAGGGATGATTATTTGACTTTAAGGGTGTTTTCAAGGGGTTATTGATCCTTTTCAATTTTTAAGCAACCAGGCAATGTTTATAAATAAATAAAAAGTAGATAAGAGCTGAAAAATATTTAATTCATCAATTTGGTTAAATATCAGTTTTTTGGGGTAGTAATGTACCGTGGGGGTGGTTTTAAGGGGTGAGACATGTTAAAAAAAAAAAAATTTTCTCATACTGAATACTTTAGTAGTTAAATCTAATATACATTATAAGTCTAAAGTAACGACAAAAAACTCGGCCATTAAAGGGTTAAGAAAAATGGAGAGACTCTAGTTCCCGTATGTGGCACCGTATTACAAGCCAATTGCAATTTGGACAAATTCTCGTCCCACTCCTTACAGTCATGTTTTAGAAAGGTGGCAATCGTTGGTTTAACGGTTCGATTAAACCTTTCAACCGGATTCGCTTGGGGCTGTTTTATCGGCGTTGTTATTTGTTTAATACCCCTCGCTACCAGGTATGACTCTGCTTCCCTATTCACGAACTCTTTGCCATTGTCTCTTACGACCGCTCTAGGAGTTCCCCAACAATCAAATACCTTATCGAGAATTTTAACGACCGTCTTCCCATTTCTCGTACGTATAGCCCTTTCAGTCCCACAATTAATGAAATAAACGAATATCCACAAAATACATGGTACATATAGTTTTTGGGGTCGCTGATTACGATTCCGATGTCAGTTTTTCAAAATTCGAAATAGCGGATCCAACATGGCGCTCGACTTTTTAAAAAGATGCTTAGATTCGCTTGAAACTGGTAACTCGGGGGTTTTCGGGGTCGCTGATTACGCATCCAGGGTCAATTTTTAAAAATACAAAACGGCGGATCCAATATGGCGGACGTAGAAATAAAAAATTTATCGGATTTGCTTGAAAGTTGTTACTCGGGGGTTTTTGGGGTCACTAATTACAAATCCGACGTCAGTTTTTCAAAATTCAAAATGGCGGATCCAATATGGCGGAAATTTTTTTAAAATTTCATCGGATCTGCTTGAAAGTTGTTACTTGGGGGTTTTTGGGGTCACTAATTACGAATCCGATTTTAGTTTTTCAAAATTCAAAATGGCGGATCCAATATGGCGGATCCAATATGGCGGACGTCGAAATAAAAAATTAATCGGATTTGCTTGAAAGTTGTTACTCAGGGGTTTTTGGGGTCGCTGGTTACGAATCCGATGTCAGTTTTTCAAAATTCAAAATGTCGGATCCAATATGGCGGAAAATTTTTCAAAAATTCATCGGATCTGCTTGAAAGTTGTTACTCAGGGGTTTTTGGGGTCGCTGGTTACGAATCCGATGTCAGTTTTTCAAAATTCAAAATGTCGGATCCAATATGGCGGAAAATTTTTCAAAAATTCATCGGATCTGCTTGAAAGTTGTTACTCAGGGGTTTTTGGGGTTGCTGGTTAAGAATCCGATGTCAGTTCTTCAAAATTCAAAATGGCGGATCCAATATGGCGGAAAATTTTTTAAAATTTCATCGGATCTGCTAGAAAGTTGTTACTAGGGGGTTTTTGGGGTCACTAATTACGAATCCGATTTTAGTTTTTCAAAATCCAAAATGGCGGATTCAAAATGGTGGAAAATTTTTCAAAAATTCATCGGTTCCGCTTGAAATTTAAACATGCTTATGAAAGAACAAAATAGCTAATCCATTATAACGTAGATTCAAAATATTTCGTTTGATGGCCGAAAAGATGGAGTATTTGGAAATTTTTGTTGTTTTCGCGCCCAAGTAGTATACACTAAAATGCCCTCACAGTGTCGCAAAAGTTTGAAATTTTTCCCATTGTACCTGAATTGTTTGTTGACAATTATTCATTTGTGATAGAGAGCAGCTAAAGGAACTTTTGTTTTTCCAATCTTATTATTCTATTGATTGAGAGCGTTGTGAGAAAACATTAAGGTTGATTATTGCCCATTATTTATTACATACGTTTTGAAGTCTATAAAATATTTCATAAGCTTTTAAGTTTTAGCACAGATAAGTTTCTTCGATTATTTTATTTTTTCTTCATGGAGTTTTCTGCAATCAATAGTGACAGTGGAAGTGAAGACGGTGAGTATGCATCCGAAGATGATGGTTTTGATTTTGAAAGTAATGAAGATGCATCAAACGTCGCTACTGATCAAATTTTCGAGCCAATTTCTGATGTTGGAAGCGTTGTTTCAGACATATTAGATAGTGAAAAAGATGAGACACCTCTTAGTCAAAGAATGAATGAGTTAGACGGTATTTGGGAACAAAAGTCTAGAAAATATAATAAAATACCCTTTTCTGAAGATTGTGGTCCAAAATTACCTCCTAACGTATTTTCGCCATCAGAAATTTTTCTCTGTTTGTTTTCAGATAACCTTATTGATATTCTAGTGGATCAAACTAATTTGTACTGCAAACAATTGCTAAAACCGTTTGAAACCACGACAAAAGAAGAGATGCTAAAATTTATCGGGATAAATATTTTAATGGGAATATTTTAATGGCCTGCTATTCGTGATTATTGGTCATCTAATATTCAGTTACGTGATTCTTTTATAAGTTCTATCATGCCTCGCAATAGGTTTTTCTTTCTGTTATCTAAAATGCATTTGAATGACAACGAATCTATGCCTAAAACAGGCGATCCTACTTACAACAAGCTGTATAAAGTAGCACCAATGATCAATCATTTGTCAGAGAATTTTTTGAAATTTTATAAGCCCACTAAAGAGCAAGCTATTGACGAAAGCATGATCAGATTCAAAGGCAGAAGTTCGCTGAAGCAGTATCTTCCACAAAAACCAATTAAAAGAGGTTTTAAAGTTTGGGTTAGAGCAGATAAATATGGCTTTGTTTGTGAGTTTCAAATCTATACTGGCAAAATTGATGGTAGCGCAGAGAAACTTTTAGGCGAAAGAGTTGTGCGAGATTTATCTCGTGAACTAACTTTTAAAAATTATCATTTATATTTTGGTAATTATTTCACGAGTGTGAGTTTGATGATTTGCCTAAAAAATGAAGGTATTCAAGCTTGTGGTACTGTCAGAAGTAATAGAAAGGAGTTACCAAAGTGTCAAAAACCTGATAAAAGTTTAAAAAAAGGAGATAGTGAATACCGAACATCATTTAAAGGAATATCTTGGGTAAAATGGAAGGACAATAAGGCGGTACAGTTCTTGTCTAATTTTCACGACCCCTCTGATATCGCAACTGTTGGAAGAAAACAAAAAGATGGTTCAATTCTTCAAATAACAGCTCCAAAGATTGCAGTTGATTACAATTCTTATATGGGATGTGTAGATAAAGCAGATATGCTTAAGTCTACATATGAACTAAACCGGAAAAGTAAAAAACGGTGGCACAGAATCTTCTGGCACTTAGTTGACGTAACAGTTGTAAATTCTTTTATAATTTACCGGCAAAACAGACCAGATTCTCAAATGGCTTTGAAAGAGTTCCGCTTGGCAGTTGCAAATGATCTAATTGGATATAGTACTCCAAACAAAAGGGGTAAAAAACAGCAACAATTGCCGATCAACAACTACAAACCAAAGATATCCACAACCATGCGATTTTCTCAAGTTCCTCACCTTCCAACTGTACTAAGTACTCAAAGACGTTGCGTTTGTTGCAGTACCAAAAGTATTCCCTGTCGAACATCTTTTTTCTGTTCCACATGCAATGTCCCCTTATGCATAAAAAAAGAGAAAAACTGTTTTCAAAAGTTCCATGTTAAATGAGTTCATTAAGTATAAAAAATAATAAAAAGTAATACAAATTTTAATAAGTATTAAAAAAAAAATTAAAAAACAGAAAAAAAGAAACAAAACTCTGCCATTGACGGTCCTAAGCCCGTGTATAAAAAGAGGAGGGTGTTTCAAAATGCGCAATTTTGAGTATCGTGAATTACGCATTTAAATTCACTTCATAAAACCCCGAGTAAGAAGTTTCAAGCAGGTGCGATGAATTTTTGAAAAATTTTCCGCCATATTGGATCCGCCATTTTGAATTTTTAAAAACTGACATCGGATTCGTAATTAGTGACCCCAAAAACCCCTGAGTAACAACTTTCAAGCAAATCCGATAAATTTTTTATTTCAACGTCCGCCATATTGGATCCGCCATTTTGTATTTTTAAAAATTGACCCCGAAAACCCCCAAGTAACCAGTTTCAGGTCAATTGGAGCGATTTTTCAAAGTCATCAAAAGGTGGTCGATATATCGACCACTGGGACTGAAAGGGATAGAGAATAATTCAAAGTACTTTGTATACAAATGTAAGACTACCAAAACACACGAATTTCCTCTTTTCGTTCGAGTTTGTGTTACCACCGTATCGCCGACAAATAAGACAAAGGTGAGTACGACATTCGAGCAACTAGTTTTCCCTTAATCGGGTTCTGATTATATTTCACCTTCACGCAAATATTGCACTCTTCGACATAATTTTTCAAGTCTTGGGCCATCCCCGGTCAATAGAAATTCTGGCGAATCCTGTCAAGGGTTTTGTCTTTACAGAGATGACCAGCCTGTGACAAATCATGATTATAATGTAAAATAGCAGTTGTTTCATCAGATTTGACAACCCTTTTCCATGGGGTTTCATCATCAATTAAGGCCTTCTCGTAATCCGGACGATAATAATACAAAACGTCACCTTCTATTTTCCAACAGTCAAATCTATCTGGTTGATTTTTAACTAAATTAAATTTTGTCATATACCAGTCTTGGTCACAAATAGTATTTAATTGAATTTTGCTCTGAATTGCTTTCTTAATGACTTTCTCCCAGCCATCGGGATCTACGTCGACATTATGCATTCGCGAAAGGGCGTCAAGTGCCTCATTCAAGGTGCCACATCGATGTTCTACAGTCATGTTATGCTGATACAGGTAAATTGACCATCTCGCCAGTCGACCTACTGTATTTTTTAACCCTTGAAGCCACTGTAAAGCTTGGTGATCTGTTACCACCGTGAAAGGCATTCCCTCTTAATAACATCGTAGTTTTTCGACGGCCCAAATTACTGCCAAACATTCTTTTTCTGTCGTCGTATAATGCAATTCAGCACCTCTCAATGGCCGACTCAGTACTTTAATGAGATTCTCCTTACCCGTTTCAGGATCTTTCTGCACCAAAATCGCGCCTAGACCGAAATCACTCGCGTCAATGTACAGAATAAAAGGCTGTCCCAGTATTGGTACATATAATCCCGGTGCATTTATTAAAGCCTTTTTGACGTCCTTGAAGGACTTTTGTTCAACCGCCGTCCATTTCCACGGAACTTTAATACTAGTTAATTTATTTAAAGGGCCCTGTATCCGTGCAATGTTTTTTACATGTCTGTGATACCAATTTACTAAGCCATTAAACTGTCTAAGTTGAGTTCTATGTTTTGGAACTGGAAAGTCGACAATCGGTTGTATTTTTTCCGGGTTTGGTGTCATGCCGAATTCGTCGACAACATAACCGAGAAATTTTACTTCTTTGCACGCGGAGCTACTTTTTCCGATTTACCAACAACTTTGCTTCCCGAAAAACCTCGAAAACTAGCGACAAAATCTGTAAATGTTCATCGAAACCCTTACTGAATCTATCTCTACACCACGGAACACCGTTTTGAAATCCCAATAAAAAGTCGACATCACTCGTTGCATTACTTTGTTTGTCAAAATTCGCGGTTTGAGAATTATTTTCGTCAACGTACATTTGTTGTGATATAGAATCGTTAAGGTCAATGTCTGTAGGAATATTTCTGCCTTTATTAAAATTGTCAGTCGTTTGTCCCTCCTACTCTGCCGATCACCCGGATTTCCCCCAGAATTTAAAGAAGCATTTGAATTTGGTTCTAACATAGTGGGAGTAAAAGAGGAAGATACAAAAATTCTTCTCTCCCCCAATAACCGACAACGATAATTTTTCCGAATTATGCCCAGTAAAAAAAAAGTATAGACAGTAAGGAAAAAGTATAGACTCATAGCTTAGTGGCTATACCGTTCGGCATGTAATGACGGTATAGAGACGTTACGGTGTATACTTTTTTCTTACCGTGAATACGGTTCACCTGGATTGTTTGAATTGATGTGTATTAACGCGATTTGACATTGTCAATGAAAAAGCCGATTGTTTTGAAGTGTAATAATGCCGATTACGAGGAGGAGCGACGAAATTTTATCTAAAAGTTAAAAAGGTAAATGTGACAGGCACGAGACCTGCGAGAGTTGTTACCACTGGATTGAGGAAATGCATCATTACTGACAAAAAGTATTCGACAGAAACTTACCGACAGAAAGTTACTAGGAAGAGCGGCAAATTCAAATGGTCAAATTAAATTCGAATGAATATATACATAATTTAATGTAGTTTTTTTATTTTAAATCAAGTATAGTATTTTAAATAATTAAATACCGATATTAAATAATTAATGTTTATTATAAAAATTGACATATAGACATAAAAATTTTTTCATTTTTAGCATTTAAATCTGTGAAATAATGAAATATTGTAATTTTATTTTTTAATTTCATAAAATTTTTATTTTTTATTAATTATTAATAATTAAATTTTTTTCATAAAAATAAAAATGTACTGCAAAGAATATGTTTTATGCATTGAAAAATAAAAATTTGTTAAAATATATTATTTCTATATTTTGTAAATAAAGTTATTTATTAAAATAATTTTTTTATTTATAAAATTGAAATAGATTAAAAAATTAATGTTTTAAATTAAAAATTTTTTATTTGAATTAATATATGTAATTAACTATTATGAAAATTAATTAGTCGTTAAATTTTTTTTTTTTTTTAATAATAACTAATCTTTTTTTACCTATAAACAAATTTAATTTTATTTTGAACAAAATTATATTTTTAATGATAAAAACTTTGTTATTTTACATAGAGACGAATAATATTATACTTTTTTTATTTGTGAGTGAGAAGTGACCAAAACCAAATAATTGTAAATCATCGTAAAAATATTTTAAAAGGAATAGAAACAAAACAATACATTTTAAAATTATACAACACAAGAATACTCGCAAATGCGATTGTAAAACGAAAAGTACGAAAGTAATATAATTTTAGGTTTATTACTTCCTGCAGCCGTTAGGTGGCAGAAGCATGCAGGGAGCACAATGTCGCAGCTGTCATTATATTACTTTCGTACTTTTCGTTTTACAATCGCATTTTTGTATAGATTTACACAATCTTTCGGATTTAAGAAATTTATAAGATAAGGATCCTTGGTATTTTTTCCGATTTTGAAAAAAGTGTCCGCGTTTTGAGAAAAAAGTATTTTAAACTCAATGTTTATCATTTTCACGTTCAGTGCCGTTTTTATAGGGCGATTATTGAATGCCAAAGAATTTCAGAGACCGTTCGACACTCTTAAACGATATTTTTTTATTTGTGAATTTCTTTTATATTTAAACGCATTCTTTTATCCTACAATAATTTTTAATGCTTATAATTTGTTTCATACGCGTATATGCGATTTGCGAGTATTCTTGTGTTGTATAATTTTAAAATGTATTATTTGTTTCTATCCCTTTTAAAATATTTTTACGATGATTTACAATTATTTGGTTTTGGTCACTTCTCACTCACAAATAAAAAAAGTATAATATTATTCGTCTCTATGTAAAATAACAAAGTTTTTATCATTAAAAATATAATTTTGTTCAAAATAAAATTAAATTTGTTTATAGGTAAAAAAAGATTAGTTATTATTAAAAAAAAAAAAATTTAATGACTAATTAATTTTCATAATAGTTAATTACATATATTAATTCAAATAAAAAATTTTTAATTTAAAACATTAATTTTTTAATCTATTTCAATTTTATAAATAAAAAAATTATTTTAATAAATAACTTTATTTACAAAATATAGAAATAATATATTTTAACAAATTTTTATTTTTCAGTGCATAAAACATATTCTTTGCAGTACATTTTTATTTTTATGAAAAAAATTTAATTATTAATAATTAATAAAAAATAAAAATTTTATGAAATTAAAAAATAAAATTACAATATTTCATTATTTCACAGATTTAAATGCTAAAAATGAAAAAATTTTCATGTCTATATGTCAATTTTTATAATAAACATTAATTATTTAATATGGGTATTTAATTATTTAAAATACTATACTTGATTTAAAATAAAAAAACTACATTAAATTATGTATATATTCATTCGAATTTAATTTGACCATTTGAATTTGCCGCTCTTCCTAGTAACTTTCTGTCGGTAAGTTTCTGTCGAATACTTTTTGTCAGTAATGATGCATTTCCTCAATCCAGTGGTAACAACTCTCGCAGGTCTCGTGCCTGTCACATTTACCTTTTTAACTTTTAGATAAAATTTCGTCGCTCCTCCTCGTAATCGGCATTATTACACTTCAAAACAATCGGCTTTTTCATTGACAATGTCAAATCGCGTTAATACACATCAATTCAAACAATCCAGGTGAACCGTATTCACGGTAAGAAAAAAGTATACACCGTAACGTCTCTATACCGTCATTACATGCCGAACGGTATAGCCACTAAGCTATGAGTCTATACTTTTTCCTTACTGTCTACTTTTTTTTTTACTGGGTGGCTATTTTTTGAACGCCCTACCAGTAATCAATCCAAATAGGATAAAATTCAGTCAATCAAAATAAATAATTAATTAAAACAATAGTTTTAGTAATAATCAAAATATTTATATTAAAAATAAATTTCAATACAATATTGAATATGACGTCGATTTCTATGAGGTTGACTACCCAATGGCTGCTAAAAAAATATTTATGTTTTTTCCTTTTAAATTGTTAATTAATTAAAAATATTAATAAAAATTTCAACTATTATAGTACTATAGATGACAAAATAATAAAGCTAATTTAAAATTTAAAAAAAAATTTTTTAAATGATACAGGAAGTACTGGTACGAAATTTGATGGCGTTAACAATTTCAGGATAAATACGTTTATTCTGATTATCGACAAACTTACAAATGAATTGCAATCAAGATTAGTAAAATATGAGTATATTGAAACGCAATTCAATTTTTTAACTCAACTCACAGAGCTCGACCACAACGAAGTCTGGTTTTGTTTGGCATTTTGTATATCATTTTGTGCATCAAGAAAACAAAAAAAATTTGTTTTTTTGTTCTTGTAATGAGAATTTTCTTATTCCAATATAAAATAACTTTCCAGAGCCACTGTGATGAAATTATAATTGATTAATTGTTAGGATTTTTAAATTATTTATTAGACTTTTCCATCAAATCTTAAAGAATATAAATAAGAATCATATCTTTATCAACTACACAAGTTAAAGAGCCAAAATTTATTTTAAGGCAGTCGTCACTTAATTTCCTTTTGATGTTAAAGAAAAGAAAAGAAAAATCAGAAAGAGAAAATAAAATATTCTTTTTTTTATTTATCTACAGGGAAAATAAACTAATTTTCTACCATAATTCTTATTATTATCTTAGAATTAATCTCATAATATTTTTTATTACTATAATTTAAATATTATTTAGAAATTTTTAAATCAAATTAATTTAAAATTTTATAAATAAATAATATTTAATTAATTTTTTTAAAAATATTTTCAAATATGACTGGGGTCAAGTCTAACAATAATAATTCCAATCAAAAAAATGAAAATAATTTTATAAAGAGGAATTTTTTATATAATTTCTTGTGTGTTGTAAATGTGTCTAACTTACAGAAAGGAATTTGTATATAATAAAAACATTGATTTAAAAGAAACTCACTAGAGATAAAAATTATAATAGAACCGAAAAGTATCAGATTACTTTTCGTTCTTGACTTCAAATTCGCAGACTCTCGTATATGTTATATGATCTAACCAAATATGGAAGTCGTTTTTTCTTTTATTATTATGTTTAATATAACTTCATCAAATCTTTTCGTCTTCTAAATTATATTTTGTTTAATTATTTCAATATTAAAAATGTTTGTTTAGAAAATTTAGAATTTTAGGGTTACCAAACCTGAATTTTATTTTAACAATTTTTTATTATAAATAATTATTCTTATTATTATAATTTTAATTTCACTTGATACTTGAATCATAAATTCTTCAATAATACTTTTTTAAACTGACACTTTTCTTCTTATAATAAAATTTATTTTTAACAAAGTTATGCGCATTTGAATTTTTAATGATAAAACTAAAAAAAATGTATGAAAAATTGTTTTGCTTGTATTTTTTCTCTTCTCAATGTAATCAAAAAATTTTTTTTTCAATGTTGTTGGTGGTCTTGTTTTCTTTAAAATCCCGTTTGAAATTTGCAAAAAGCATAAAAATTAACGAAACTATAAAACGTTAATTTTCTCAAAAATCTCACTTTTTTGTCTCAAATTTTTACCATAAATTCGTACCAGTATGGACAACAATTTCTATAAGTTTTAATGGGGCTAAACCATTATAGCGACAACGAGAATTTTTTTTCCAACAAATTTTTTATCGAGCTTTGAAATTGTTGGTGTGAACGTTCATGAACAAGTGAAGTGTTGTAACTGAAATGAGTCGTTTTATAACTAACAATTATTTATGCACGCAAAATCACTGCAAAGTACTTTGTACTAAAAATTATAAACATAAATACATGTAAAATTTTACAATTTAAATATCGATAGATCCAAATAATTAATAACAAGATTCAAAAGGAATTTTTCTGTTTTTAAATATTGTTATTTTTTCAGGAGCATGATCTGCAAATTTTATTTAAATTTAAATTATCGTTCAAATGTTTTTCAAAAGTATTTCAACAAGTTTTTGACAACTGATAATATTTTGAAATTAATAATTATTTGCAAATTTAATATTGAGTTAAATTGTATAAATACAAATTTTAATAAATAAGAAATAAAAAATTTACATTTAAAGTTAAAACATAAAGAGTTTTAATTCGAAGTTATATTTTTCAAAAACGAAAAGTGCTTTTATATTAAATTTTTAAAACATATTTTTCGCAATTATTACGGCAAATTATTTTAAGATAAATTAAATATTTTTATTAAATAATGAAACATATCTAGTAGAAGTAACTAAATTTTTGAATATACATAATTATTTAATTAAAAACATGTAATATTCTATTTATCAAATTGCATTCACAGAAAACAATAATTGTGGTTATAAAACGACTCACTTAAGTTAAATTCACAACACTTCACTTGTTCATAAACGTTCACACCAACAAGATGGTAAAATGCATTTTCCTTTATGGATAATTGATTATTGGCAAGATATACACCAGCTAAAACTTTTTTTGAGTTAAAATAATAAAAAAAATTTCATGTCAATAAATTAAATACGAGCACTTTTTTCACAAAAACTGTAACAGTACTTTCTCAGAAATTACAATCAAAAATGCAATTTCCATTTGGAAAATTAATAAACGCTAAAAAATACACGACCTAAGATTTACCAATCACGAAAATAACAAAAAAAAATTTTTATTAAATATTTAACATATTGATACTGCTTTACTGATTGTGACAGCCCTTTGGTAGATTATGTATTTCAGGTGGTTAGCAACAGCGCCAATCTCCTCCTTTCGGCAAAACTGCGAAACGTCTGGTGACATATATAACCTGCCAAACGGCTGTCATAATGAGTAAAATATGTTGTGTTAAAATACTTTTTTTTGTTATTTTCGTGATTGGTAAATCTTAGGTCGTGTATTTTTTAGCGTTTATTAATTTTCCAAATGGAAATTGCATTTTTGATTGTAATTTCTGAGAAAGTACTGTTACAGTTTTTGTGAAAAAAGTGCTCATATTTAATTTATTGACATGAAATTTTTTTTATTATTTTAACTCAAAAAAAGTTTTAGCTGGTGTATATATTGCCAATAATCAATTACCCATAAAGGAAGAAGCATTTTACCTTCTTGTTTTCAAGAAAAGGCTGTTGAAAATTTTCCAAAATTTTAGTTTCAATATAGATGGCGCTGCCTCACTTGGACCTGGCCTTAAAGAAAACAAGACCACCAACAACATACAAAAAAAAAATTTTCTTGATTACACTGAGAAGAAAAAAAAATTCAAGCAAAACAATTTTTCATAAATATTTTTTTATTTCATTATTAAAAATTTAAATGCGCATAATTTCGTTAAAAATAAATTTTATGAAAAATAAAACAACAAACAAAATAAATAAAGTGATTTGAATAGCATAAACATATTAAGAATAAAACATCTGCTCAATCAGAAGTAGGATTACATCGATCAGAATTGAATCATGAATTTGATTGGGATAATGTCGTTATTTTAGAGCGTGAACAAAATTATAAAAAACGTTGTTTTTCAGAAATATTACATATTAAAATTAATGATTTTACTATTAATAAAAAAGAAAACATACTGTATTCATGAAATTATAAGGAATTGAAATATCGATATTAGAAAAAATAAAGATACACTTGTCCTGATTTGACACATGTATATATATATATATATATGTATAAGGGGTAATTTTTTAATACATAACAAAAAGTAAGAGAAAATTTCTCAAATTTTCAAAAATCCTAAAATTTGTTTATTTCACAGTTTTTACAAATATTTTGCTCAGCATGAAATATAAGAGCTTAATTAATTACATAAATTTATTAAAATGTTTTTAATAAAAATTGTGCAAAAATTCAAATTGCGTTTTTATTGATAAAAAAAATCTCTTAAATAATTAAATATATATTTTTTTTTCATAAAAGAAAAACTAAAATTTATTCAATTAGATTTCTAGTAAAATTGATTTTTCTGAACAATAGAGAATTTTATTACTTTTTTCTTGATAATTTAGGAAAATCTTTATATTGAGTTTCCTCTAAGGTATTGTCATCATTTTGTATTTTCGTGTTTTTATTATATTTTTTATTAAAAGAAGATCGATAGATGTCTGAAGAAGTTGAAGCATCTTTATTATTATTATTATTATTATTATCATTATTATTTTCCCTATTTAACGATTGAATTTCAGAATGATGAGGTATTTCATTTACTTTTTTTGTTGCAATTAAACGAATATGCGAAATTTTGCCATTATTTGGATCATTTTTTTCAGAAGAGTGTTTCTTGTTTTGTAAAACTGGAGTTGATGAACCAATTGGCGGTGATATTAATAGTTGATTACCTTGATGAAATTCTTTTACATTAGTTACAAGTTCTTCGTTGGAACTTTCTTCATTGGATAAACTAAAATTTGGAATATCCGAACCCATATAATTTGGAAGTGATAAAAATAATTGTTCATCATTTTTTGCCTCCTTTGGAGTTGAACTTCCCATAGGTCGAGTATTCTCTTTTCTAGAACTCCGAGCTAAAAACATAAATTTTAAAATAAAAATAAATGACTAATAATATTTTTTTATTAATAATTATTAAAAAATTTTACCATTCATTTCGTTTACTCGATTCGTCATAGTTTCATTCATTTGTGACAATTGTCTTTCTAAATTTCGAGTATAGTGACCAATTTCTAATAAAATGTTTACAAATTCCGGTCTCGTTGCATCAACATTTTGAGAATCGTCCGTCTTTTCGTTTTCTATAAACGGTTTTCTCAACTTTTGAGAATCTTTTGAGTTATCAGAATTTTCATTTGAGAAAGTTACTTCTGTACCGCAACAAAGGCAATCTTTTTTTTCTTCTAATTTCTGTACAAAATCACCTGGCGAAGTCGAACTTGTTGGAGAGAAGTTTTTATAATTATTATTTTTCTTTGGAGTAACAACTTTAGAGGTATTTACCATTAGCGGTTGATTTTCAAAAGTACTGGAATCCAAATTTGTATTAGCTCCAAGATTTTGTGAAATTAAAGGAAATTCCCTACTAGGAAGAGAATTTATCGCTTGACGAACACGTGATTGCTCTTTAAAATTTTCTAGCATGTTAAATATTTCTTCTCTTAAATTATCGCAACAATTTTTCGATTCAATATTTGTTTGAACACTTGCTTCTTTTAAATATACATGAACAGTCTTTTTTAAATTATTTTCATCTTCATTCGAAGCTTGCATTTGTTTTTCAATTGTTCTTTTTCTATTATTATTATTATTATTATTATTCTCATCATTTCCCGTCAATTCCCGTGAATTTAAATTCATTTCCGATATAATTTTCGTACTTAATTCTCTATCAGTTTTTTCTTTATTATCTATATTGTTTGTAATTTTCTTTTCTATCAATAGTTTTTCGCCTAAATCTTTTTGACTTAAATCTTCTGTACATAAATTCTTTTTCTTTAAATTATTATTTTCCATAGGTTTCTGTTTTTTCATTAAACTATCATTTGAAATTTTTTTTCCTTGTTTATCAATGTTCTCAATTTGGAAATAATTACTGGTTTCTTCTGGAATATCAGCATTTTGAGAAAGGAACGAAGAAAGTTGACTTTTCTTTGATTTTGAGTAGAATGTGCATTGACAATTTGATGGCTTCAAGTTTGTTATTCGTGATGGAAAACTGGCAAGGCAAATGTTGCTCTTTTCCTCAGGATAATATCTACATATACGTTAACGAAGATAGGATTTAGTGTGAGTGTCACTTTTTATATTACAACGTTTAAGTCTACATTAAAACTGTCCGGCGTTGAATTCAGTGACCTGTGAAAATAGAAATAAATTCTTTAGAATTTTCAGTATAAAATCATTTCACCTGTCATCAATGTAGTAAATACTTGAAAACTGAATTTCCAAAAGGATTCTTTTTATTTTTAAACTTTTTTTTTTATAAATGACAATTAATTTACTTGAAAAAAAAAATTAATATCACAAAATCCAGTAAATATAATTAGTATCAAATAAGAGTGACAAAAAAATTGGACGTATCTCAAAAATGAAAAAATTCGAAGTTAATCAGAAGTAGAGGCTTGATTAATAATTGTATTGGAGTTGTAAGACTGCGTGGAGTTTAGTTTAGGATAAGAGTTAAGGGATGCGGGTAACAATCTGATGATCGCGTCACTGTTAGATTTTATGGTTGAACATTTGCATTTTTTGTCGCTTAGCAATTGAGACGTCAATGGATTAGAAGATTGATTACCAGACGGGTACGGCTTCTTCAGCCAATCACTTTGTCTAATCAATTTTCACACAACAAACTTTTTATCAATTTCTATTTTTAAAATATTCTCAAACAAAAGACCTATTCGTTTTGAATAAGGAAATTTCTTAAAATATTTTATTAAGGAAATAGAAGGCACTAACATAAATTAAAATTAATAAAAATTAATTTCAAAAAATTATAAAACTTTTCGCAAAAAATTATGTTGAGTTAAAATATTTTGTTAAATAATTTTTTTTCACATTTTAAATTTTTCTTTTCAGCTGAGACAAAAATCGTAATTTTTATTCAATTTTTGATAAACAATAGCTTATTTTATTTACTAAAATAAAATATACTATTGATAAATTTTTTCAACATTTATAAAATAAATTATTGTTTATAAAAATTGAATAAAAATTGCAATTATTATTTCAATTGAAAGGAAAAATTCAAAATGTGAAAAAAAAATTATTTAACAAATGATTCTCAACATAATTTTATACGAAAAGTGTATTAACTAAATCTTTCAAATATTTTTTGAAATTAATTTTTAATAAATTTTTGTTTGCCTTAAAATCAATTTTAAGATTTAAGTTAGGGCCTCCAACCTCTTTGAAAATTAATTTTATAAAGACTAAATGACAATTTACAATTTCGATAATTTAAAAAAATGAAAAAATTGTTTCCAAGCTACAGGACTAGAATACAAACACACAATTTCAAAAAAAAAAAAAACATTGAAATTGATACATTTTTCAAAAAGTTAAGAGCATAAAAAAATCATCGAAAATATAAAATTTTATAGAATTCATAACTCGTAATCGAGTTGATAAAAAAAAACTACACGAAAAAAAATAGCAGATTTTATAAAAATATTTTCAAATCGTGGAAAATATGTTAAAAAACAAAAATTTTATATAAAAAATTCTCAAGTTTAGCAAAACTTTGATAAACTTAATACAGGATTTAATAAAATTTATGTATCATTTACTAAATAATAAAATACATTTTACCAAATTTTATTATACCTATTGTACATTTCATAATATAAAAAGTTATTACAGATCATTATTATTTCTTATATAAAAATTTCGTTTTTTAGCATATTTTCCACGATTTGAAAATAGTTTTACAAAATTTGAAAATACTTTTATTAAAATTTTATATTTATTTTAAATTAAAGTCTTATTTTCTCTATTTAAAATAAATTTCACACTGTTGTGTAACCTGAAAAGTTTTTTTTTAAAATAATTTTTAAGGAGGTTTAGAAGCCCTAACATAACCTCAAAATTGAAAAATAGTTTATAAGGCAAATAAAAATTTAATAAAAAATAATTTCAAATAATTTTTGAAAGATTTATTTGTAAACTTTTCATAAAAAATTGTGTTGCAAATCTTTTGTTAAATAATTATTTATTTTTTAGTATTTTCACTTTTTTCAGCTTAGACAAAAATAGCAATTTTTATATAATTTTTATAAACAATATCTTATTTTACCTAAAGAAACATTTAAAATTGTAAACTTTTAACAATTGAAAAATGTTAAATAAATAAATCAGTAAATAAAGTAAGCTATTATTTATAAAAATTTGATAAAAATTGCGAATTTTGTTAGACCTGAAGGAAGAAAATCAAAATGTTGAAAAAATCCAACAAAAGATTTTAACTAAACATAATTTTTTCCAAAAAGTGTATAACTAAATCTTCTTACAATTTTTGAAATTAATTTTTACTAAATTTTTGTTTGCATTAAAAACCGGGACGCAGGAATATTTTCCATATTGAATTTTTATATTGCAAAATTTTCATTTAGCCGAACTTTGTAAAGCATATTCTGTAGTTCAACAAATTTTTATTTAACGCGATTTTCGTTTAAGAGACTTTATATTTAGCCAATATTTATATTTAATTTAACCGTATTGATCCAAAATCGAATTTCTATTTATCCAAATATTTACTTAAAAGTATTTTATTTTTCATTCAAATAAATTATTACGTAACAGAATTTTTTAATTAGGCCAATTAACAAATTGTACAATTTTCTTCTTCATCAAAACTCTATTTGATCAAATTGTCATTTCAAAGAACTTTTAAAACGTCGAATTTTCATTTCATCGAAATTGCAAATAACCGAACAATTAACAGAAAGATTTAGGTGCAAATTTAAGAATTGACCAATAAAAGAATATAAAAATTGTGATTGGTCAATTTTAAAATTAGCGCCGAAATATTTCAGTCGGTTGTTATATAAAAATTCAGATAAATAAAAATTGTTTTGTATGAAAATTCGGTTAAATATGAAATTATGTTAGGGCCTCCATCCTCCATAAAACTTCATTCGACTTTAACCTGGTTTGCGATTGAGTCCATGGACCACTAGAACTGAAATGTCTACTACGAGATGTTCGATTGTATTCTCGAGGAGTATTTGGAGTATTTGGAGAATTTAAAGGAGAGGTTCGACGAGATTGACAATGGCAACATGATGAACATTTTTCTTCACTAATAAAAAAATGTATTAATAAAATATAATGCATAAAGTAAATTCTACATTTTACTAATAAATTGATGAATTATTACCTTCTAGTTTCTTCTTCTTTACGTGCTCGATCAAAGCGTTCGTTTGTTACTTGTCGACGTAATTCGCTTACTTGCTTACTATATTCAGCTGCTTGATTCTGATATTTCTTTAGATCAGATGAATTAGAAGACCTTGAAATCATTTAAATAATGTTAAACCATTTGCTTAAATTGTCTTTTAAAAATTTTTTTAAAAATTATTTTTATTTCAAATTTTAATTTATTTGAAAAAATAATAAAATTCTGTAACAAAGTTTTAAAATAAAGAGATATAAGTTTTAGATAATAATTTAACCCTTAACTAGCACAATTCGAACGTAAATGGCACAACGGGTCTGCTGGACCCAACGTATTCAATAGTGTATTGTACAGCCGGTATTGAATATTTTTAAACAAAAATTTAATCTGAGATATTTTATGATGTGTTTTTTAAAATACAATTAGTTTTACAGGGATTATTTTATTTTAAGTTAGTTAAAAAAATTGTGAAAAATAAAAATTGCGTGTTTTTACTTAAAGATTCATGAGTTATTTAAATTTTAATATTGTGACTTAAAAATTTAAGTTTATACTCTTGATGTATTATTTTTTAAGGAAAAAATTACCAGAACAGCAGGACTTGCAAAAAAAGCATTTATTTTGTAGAATAAAATGTGACTTTTTAGGTTAAAATGAAAAATTTATAATTATTAATGTTTGAAGCTAATTTATTCTTTTGTATCGAATTATTTGTATCAAAAAACTTACAAAATTACTAAGAATATGTGAAACAAATACATTAAAATATAAAAAATATTCAAAAGCTACACATTCAATTAATTTGAGCTCGAAAAAATTCTCGGGTCTACTGGACCCATGGTGCTAATTAAGGATAAAATACATTATTTTATCTTTATCAGTCTAACATTTTTTATACATGGCGCATGAAATAAAATTAAATTTTTTTTTTTTTGAGTTTTCATTAAATTTTTTTTTCAATGGAACATTTTATTATTGAATTTTTATTTTAATATTTTATTATTTTTTTTAACTTAATGAAAATTATGAAAGTTATTTTTTTAAATTTAACGTCGTTAAAAGCAAGTTACTTTTGAAATGTATTTTTCTGTTATATGATCAGTTAAAAAAAATAATATTACATATGAAATTTGTTAGATTTTTTTTAATATTTTAAATATGTAGTAAAAAATAATGTAACTACAACGGAAGGATCTAAAAAATTAAAATCAAGTGTAAAAAGTAACTTTTCTCAAAACCGAAATGATCGTCATCAAAAATTGAAGATGAAAATTAATAAATATTGTAAAAGTTGAACTTTAAAAAAATAAAAATAAAATAAAAAAGGGGTGCATGATTATTCTATAAAAATCATTAATTAGAATCATCATTTTAAAGTATTTTATTAGAAATAATTATTTTTTATACGAATTTTTACATAAAAAAAATTTTTAGCTACCGAATTTTTGTTTGACAGAATTTTTATTTTACCTAGTCATTTTCTTTAAATGATTTTTTGTTTAAAGGAGTTTTAATTTAAGCGAATTTTTAATTTAACAGAATTCTCATAAAATAGAATTTTATGTGATTCGAATTTTTAAATGACAGAAATTCAAATTCACTGAATTTTAATTTGTGGGAAATTAGAATTTGACCGAACAATTAAAAAACAGAAAAATTTTAGCGCAATTTTTAAAATTGACAAATCACGATTTTCTTGATAATTTCTAATTGGTCAATTTTAAAAATTGATTCGAAATCTATCTGTCGATTGTTTGTTCGAACAATTTGTAATTTCGGACAAATGAAAATTCGGCATTTTAAAAATTCGTACAACTAAAAATTTGGATAAATTAAAAATTGGTGAATTGGAATTTCTGTCATTTAAAAATTCGAATCACAAAAAATTCAATTGAATCAGAATTCTGTTAAATTAAATTCACTTAACTTAAAAATCTTTTAAATAAAAAAACATGTAGAAAATGACTGTATAATAAATATTCTGACAAATAAAAATTTAGTAGCTAAAAAATTTTTTTTATTTTAAAATTCGTATAAAAAGAAAATCTGTCAAATTTTAATAAAAAAATTGAAAATTTGTCTTAAAAATAATTATTTCTAATAAAATACTTTCAAATGAAAATTGTAATTAATTATTTTTATGTGAAAATCATTCAACCAATAAAAATTTACATTATTAAAGATATCAATTCTTTTGTTCAATTACAAGTCAAATTTTAATATTTAAAAACATGCCATTTACTTACAATTTATTATGGAGCTCCGTGTTTTTTTGTTTTAATCTTGATATTTCGTTTTGCAATTCCTGATTAGCGGTTTGAGTATTCATCGACTCCTGTCTAGATTGATCCAAAAGTTCTTCTAAACGATCAATTGCGGCATTATCTCTACTTATTTGATCTTGCACGACTGTATTTTCTGTTCTCAATCGAGTAAGTTGCGATTCGAACTAAATCAATTTAGAAAAATATTTTACAAGTGAACTGTCAAAAAATTATATTATCTAGAGAAATTATTAATATAAATAAAATGGATGACATTAAAAAAAAATGTCAAACAAAGTATATTGGCTTACTTTTTATATTCAAAATTGAATATTTAATGAAATTTTAATTGCTAAGTTTTTAAAAATTTAGATAAAACCTAAAAAAAATTTTTACTGACATTTCAGATAATTTCTATATTTTTATATATATGAAAACAGTTGAAAGACGTTTATTGCGCAATTCATAATTTTCTTTTATAAAATCAATATTTAAAAAAACGCCATTTTGGTTTATTTCGTAAAAGTGAAATTCGCATTAATCTTGACATAAAAATAACACTTTTGCGCGATCTTTTTCTTTGATTCTCTTATCATTTTTTACATAGAAATTTAACGAAAGAAAAATTTTGCTTACCCTTGAAAAAAGCATAATTTATTTGTTTTGTTTAAAAAATGTAATATTTACGAAAAATTAAAATTAAAAACAAAATTTATGGTTCTCTCTAAAGATTAAAACTAAATTTAAATTACTATTGATAAATAAATATTAATTAATATCACATTAATAATAATAATTATAATAATAATAAATTAATACTATGCACATTTTTTTTTATTTTTACTTGTTAAAAATTCTAATTTCAATTCTTGGAAAAATTTATTTAATATTTGTGTTCTAATATTCATTAATATAATTATTATTTTACTATTTTTACTGATATAACTATAGTTGACCTTTTATGTCCCCTTTTTATAAAAAGGATTATTATTATTATTTTTCAATTAAATTATTTCTCACCTGAGAATTTATAGAATCTTTTTCACCTAATTGCTGTAAAATACTATCTTTTTGATGATCCAATTTCACACAAAGATCTCTAACAGCATTTAGATCAGATTCCGCTGTTAGTCTTCGATCTTCTTGTTGTCTTAATTCAGTTTCCAAGGTTGCAACGTTTTGTGTTAAACTAATAATCTACGGTAAAATAAAGAATTAATCAACGTTTTGAAATTACCATAGGTAAATGAAGATTAATTAATTTAATATACAAACAAAAATAAATACCCACCTGAGCTTCATAGCCTTTTATTAAATTTTCTTTATCCGACACTTGATGATCGAGATCCAATAGTCGATCTCGAGCTTCTGCAACTTCGGATTCTAAGCTATGATTGCTATTTTCCAAAACTGTTGCTTCTAAACTTAAACTTCGAAAGTGATTTAACATATCCGTTCTCTCAGTGTCCTGAAATATTTTTAATAAATATTTTATGTTGATGTACATTTCTTTGTACATTCTAAGAAATTTTTAACGAAAAAATTATTTATTGATTTTCGTCAAATTTAATCCACTTTGGCATTATTTTGAAAAAAAAACATTGAAGATAGATGAAAAAAATACTGTAGCAATTGAAACTAATTTTTACAGACTCTAGTTCTTCCAATTTTCATTTAACAGAATTCTTTTTTAATCGAATTATTACTTATTTAAATATTTACTTCATAGTATTTTCATTTCACTGAATTCACATTTAATAGAATTTATATATGTAACATAACTCTTATTTAACCGAATTTTCATGAAGGAGAATTTTTATTCCAACAAATTTTAATTTAACAAAAAATTCTGATGAAACGAAATTTTTATTTAGCATAATTTTCAAATATATAAATTTTCAATTCATCGAACTCTATATTTGATTGAATTGCAAATAACCGAACAAACAGACAACTGAAAGATTTCGGCGCTAATTTTAAAATTGACCAATCACAATTTTTATATTTTTTTATTCGTCAATTTTTAAATTTGCACCTAAATCTTTCTGTTAATTGTTCGGTTATTTGCAATTTCGATGAAATGAAAATTCGACGTTTTAAAAGTTTTTTGAAATGACAATTTGATCAAATAGAGTTTTGATGAAGAAGAAAATTGTACCATTTGTTAATTGGTCTAATTAAAAAATTCTGTTAAGTAATAATTTGTTTGAATGAAAAATAAAATACTTTTAAGTAAATATTTGGATAAATAGAAATTCGATTTTGGATCAATACGGTTAAATTAAATATAAATATTGGCTAAATATAAAGTCTCTTAAACGAAAGTCACGTTAAATAAAAATTTGTTAAACTACAGAATATGCTTTACAAAGTTCGACTAAATGAAAATTTTGCAATATAAAAATTCAATATGGAAAATATTCATGCGTCCCGGTTTTTAACGCAAACAAAAATTTAGTAAAAATTAATTTCAAAAATTGTAAGAAGATTTAGTTATACACTTTTTGGAAAAAATTATGTTTAGTTAAAATTTTTTGTTGGATTTTTTTAACATTTTGATTTTCTTCCTTCAGGTCTAACAAAATTCGCAATTTTTATCAAATTTTTATAAATAATAGCTTATTTTATTTACTAATTTATTTATTTAACATTTTTCAATTGTTAAAAGTTTACAATTTTAAATGTTTCTTTAGGTAAAATAAGATATTGTTTATAAAAATTATATAAAAATTGCTATTTTTGTCTAAGCTGAAAAAAAGTGAAAATACTAAAAAAAATAATTATTTAACAAAAGATTTTCAACACAATTTTTTATGAAAAGTTTACAAATAAATCTTTCAAAAATTATTTGAAATTATTTTTTATTAAATTTTTATTTGCCTTATAAACTATTTTTCAATTTTAAGGTTATGTTAGGGCTTTCAACCTTCTTAAGGCCAGGTCAAAGTGAGGCAGCGCCATCTACATTGATATTAAAATTTTGGAAAATTTTTAACAGCCTTTTCTTGAAAACAAGATGGTAAAATGCTTTTTCCTTTATGGATAATTGATTACTGACAAGATATACACCAGCTAAAATTTTTTTTGAGTTAAAATAAAAAAATTTCATGTCAATAAATTAAATATGAGCTCTTTTTTCACAAAAACTGTAACAGTACTTTCTCAGAAATTACAATCAAAAATGCAATTTCCATTTGGAAAATTAATAAACGCTAAAAAATACACGACCTAAGATTTACCAATCACGAAAATAACAAAAAAAATTTTTATTAAATATTTAACATATTGATAATGCTTTACTGATTGTGACAGCCCTTTGGTAGATTATGTATTTCAGGTGGTTAGCAACAGCGCCAATCTCCTCCTTTCGGCAAAACTGCGAAACGTCTGGTGACATATATAACCTGCCAAACGGCTGTCATAATGAGTAAAATATGTTGTGTTAAAATACTTTTTTTTTGTTATTTTCGTGATTGGTAAATCTTAGGTCGTGTATTTTTTAGCGTTTATTAATTTTCCAAATAGAAATTGCATTTTTGATTGTAATTTCTGAGAAAGTACTGTTACAGTTTTTGTGAAAAAAGTGCTCATATTTAATTTATTGACATGAAATTTTTTTTATTATTTTAACTCAAAAAAAGTTTTAGCTGGTGTATATCTTGCCAATAATCAATTATCCATAAAGGAAAAAGCATTTTACCTTCTTGTTTTCAAGAAAAGGCTGTTGAAAATTTTCCAAAATTTTAGTTTCAATGTAGATGGCGCTGCCTCACTTGGACCTGGCCTTAAAAATTATTTTAAAGAAAACATCGAATTTTTTATTTGATCTGATAAATTAACTGATTGATAAAATTTTGGTGCGAATTTGAAAATTGTTCAATCACAATTTTTTTTTGATACTTTCTTAATATTAATACTGTTAAGTAAATATTCGGATAAATAGAAATTCGATTGAATATAAATTTCTGAAGATTGAAGTTGTTTTTGATCTCAAACGAAAATCGCGTTAAATGAAAATTTGGTAAATTAGAGAATCTGTTTAACAAAATTCGGCAAAATGGAAATTTCGCAATATAAAAATTCTGTTGAGTTTTAAAATTTATTTTAAAAAAATTCTGTTAAATATAAATTCAATAATTTTTAATTCGACACCTTCAAAATTCTAATAAGTTTAAAGTGAGGAGTATTTAATTAACTCATTATTTATTTTAGAATGAAAAAAATTTTTTTTGATGAAAGCAAAGTGGCACCTTTTTCATGAGAAGTTCTTCGACACGTCTAACTTCGCTGACATAAGTTTTAAGCTGTTTTTTCAAATCAAAAGATTCTGCCCTCGAGGCCTCAAGTTCCCGTTGAAGAGTTCGCAATTCACATGTCACAGCCGCTAAATCATCTTGAAGTCGCATATTTTCTTGTATCGCATTTTCACGATCCATCGATGAACTTGTAATTTGTCTCTGAAGATTGTCCATATCAATTTGCATGCTGCGCACCTGTCGTTCTTTATCTGCACTCTGGTCCACGCATATTCTGAAAATAATTAAAAAATTACATGCAGTTGATAAATTTATTCGGTTTAAATAATAAAAAAAATTACCATAAACAATAAAATGAAAAATAATTGATTATAAGTTATTTAAAAATAAATTAATTTTTGGATTAGAATTTCTGAAACGGTTCGCATAAAATTTTCAATGTTAAATCGATTTTTTTTTAACTTCCACTATAATGAAAATAAGTTTCTAAAAATAGAAAAAAAATTATATAGTATATATATATATAGTAATAAAATATTTAATTATTTAGAATTATTTGTAATCATTGATTGCTAATTTAAAGACATAATTTTTTTTTGTGAAGCTATATAGGAATTAAATTTGTTACATAATCTTTACATAATGCCGATTGCGATGCAAAGGATAACCAGTTACCAAAAAAAGATACTTCCGAATTTTATTTGATTCACAATACTGTCGCAAATAGTTGTCGACTTTCACTCATCATGAGCATTGCATTCAGCATCCGCAATCGAATCTAAAAGCAGATGCGAAAGTGAAAATGCATGAGCACTATATACAAGCACCTTATGCACTTACACTTCCGGACGTGTATTATGTCCCCGTCACGTCCTTATATGACAGTCCCATGACATTAGCATATCAGCAATTTTATTCGATTCAAGTTTCAGGCGTTTAATAATTACATACATGAGACAAAGTTCGAGACACATAATGTCGTCGTATCGCCCACGATCTTAATTTAAATTCAGTTACTGAAATATAAGCTTGATATGAATACCGAGAAAAAAATATTCTTCTTGAGAGGAAGTTCTAACATTCGAATTAGTTGGCTCCTGAGTAGAAAAATTATTTTTTTAAATTTTAGTTTTTTATGAGCACATTCCGATAGGGAATTTTATTGCTCATTTTTTTTTCTCTTTGACAAAAATTCACATTTAATATAATTTTTGAAATATTTAAACCAAATAAATAATGTTTCGTAAAAAATAAAATATTTAAGTGAAATAAATAAACTAGGTAATTGAGGACGTATCAATATTCTCAACATTTAATTTAAAAGAATTTTTACGGCGTCAAATCATAAATTATTAAATTTTTATTTAGTAAAATTATATAAAGCAGATTTTCTAGTACATCGAATTTCAAATTAATACAATTTCAATTTAACGGAATTTATCTCAAGAAAACTTACATAAAGAAAAATTTTTTTAACAGAATTGTTATTTTAGTTTTCGATTTATCAAAATATTTACTTAACAGAATTGTCATTGAATAAATCCACAATTAACAGAATTTCTATTTAACAAAATTCTTAATTAACAAAGTTTTTATTAAAGAAAATTTTAATTCGAACTAATTTTTATTTAACAGAATTTTCATTTAAGAAAAATTCTACTTAGTTCTTTTTGGCAATTTTTCTAGACATAAATTTCGTCAAATTTAAATTATATTAATTTAAAATTTTTAAAAAGTATCAGAAAAAATTCTTTATAAGAGTTCTGCTAAATAGAAATTCTTTTAAATCGAATTTTAGTTAAACGTAAATTATTCGATATGAAAATTTTTTACATAATATAAAATCCACTTTATACAATTTTGCTAAATAGAAATTCGATAATTTAAGATTCGACGCCGTAAAAATATTTATAAGTTAAATGTGGGTATTAGTATTAAATAATAAATTATTCGTATTAATGAATACTTTACTGTATTTCAACTTGAACCGATAAAATAAAATTGTATCAAATAATTTTTATTTGTATTAAAAAACCAAATATTTCACTGAAAAAAAATTAATTGTTACACTGAAAAAAGGGTTTGGTATTGACAACCAAACGTTTGGTTGGTATTTAAGCAACCAAAATTTTTTTGTTGAATCAACAAAATTTCAATTGTCTCAACCAAAATTTGTTTGTCACAACCAAAATTTAAAAAAAAAACGATTTTTGTTGTCCTAACTAAAGTTTAATTAGGACAACCAAAATTTTGTTGATTCAACAAAAAAATTTTGATTGCTTAAATACCAACCAAACGTTTGGTTGTCCATACCAAACCTTTTTTTCAGTGTATCCAAGTTTAAAAACTCATTTATTAGATTCAACAAATAGTAGTACATAATTATTTACTTAATGAATATAAGATATATCACATGCTTAATAATTGAGTATAAAGGACAACTTTTTAATTTGCATTTGCTTTGGGAAAAAAGTAAAAAAATTTTTGAAACTAATAGTTACTTTAATTTATTCTAAAAAAAAAATTTTCGAATTAGCATTTCACAAAATTTCTTTTGAACGAATTTTTACTTAACAAAATTTTTAGGTAACGAATTTTTAAGAGAAATTTTATTTTACATAATTTTACTTTACCAAACTTTTGATTTAATAAATTTAAATTCTAATTTAGCCGAATATTAATTAATCAGAATTTTAAATGATTCGTATTTTTAAAAATCAGAATTTTCAATTCACTGAATCTTTATTTGTCCCAACATTTATTTTCACAAATTATTATTTGATATTATAGAATTTTTAAAACGCCAAATTTCAAGTTGTCCGAAATTGAAAATGTCCGAAAGAACAATCGACAACACGATTTTGGCGCGAATTTTAAAATTAACCAATCAGAAATTATCAAGAAAATTGTAATTGGTGAATTTTAAAATTTGCGCCGAAATCTTTTTGCTTTTCGGTCATTTGAAATTTTGGACAAATGAAAATTCTAGCATTTAAAAATTCGAATCATTTAAAATTTTTTATGACAATTCTCTACTAAATTAATATTTAATTACATTAGAATTTTTTTTTTAAATAAAAAGATGGATATAGAGAAAATATTGTCAAATAAAAATGCGGTCCTTTAAAATTTTATTAAGAAAAAATTCTTTTAAAAAAAATTTTGTCAAATACTAATTTGGAAAATAATAATTCAAATAAACAATAATTATATCTACACAGAAAAAAAGTTTCATCGGAAATAGCGAAAAATTTAAGTGTTTTAAATTTAATTAATTTAATTGAAACTTTTGCTATTTTAATGAAATTTTTCGCTGTTCAAGGTAAATCTTTTTGTTTCATTTAATAAAATTCATTTAAAATGAAAATTTTAATTCATGTATTTCCTAAACTTAAGGAAAATAAAGAATCTATATTATAGTAATAAAGAATATACAAATTGAATATTATATTATGTAATAATAGTATAAATATGCATAAATATTATTTAGACTTGAATAAGGAGATGTGGGAAATTACCGGTGAATTTTAAACACCAGGAAAAAGAGACAATCATCTCATCAAGACGAGTAAACTTATAAAAAACACATGTTGTAGAAAGTTGTTGAAATGCATTATGCACTATATAATATGCCACTAGACTTTCCTCTCATTACTCACAAATGTCAATGAAACCTTTAAAAATATATTTATTACAAAAGTCTAGGTATATATTAATAATAATAGAAATTTTTCATTTTTTCAATGAATTTCCAATTTTTTTTTTTATTTTTAATTTATATTCTAAATGTTGATAAAAATTTATTTTAAATGTTCTCAACAGAAAATGTAAAAAATAGTAAAACAAATTATCAGAATCATTTTATATGACGTTTTTTTATATATGAAAGTTTATTACAAGCATATTGGAACTATTTTTTACGGCCCATTTTTATTTAAATTGTATTCACCTTCTCAAAAGTTGAGGTGACTAGTGGCACACTTTATTCACTATTAACTTAAACTGATACCTAAAATGTGAATCAAATAAAAAAATTGAAACCAATTTTGGTCTCAATTTGATGCAATTTGGTATCAATTTGATACTTTCAAGAAAACTGTGTTGTTTTTAAAAACTGAATATGGAAACAATTTTTGTCTTTTTTTTCAATAATTCAGTGAATTTTCAATTCCAAACTATTTTTCAATAAAAATTTTATTTTCAATAAAAAATTATCCATCTTATTATTTTAAAATAAATTAAAAAAAAAACCCTATTTTCAAACCATATAATAAAAATTTCATAGGATTAATCCTATATAGAAGTTATATAAACACGAATGTATTAGTGGTCTCCTTGTAACTTAAAATGAATAGATGAACATGTGGAATTTTTTTTTCGTTCTGGAAATTATAACGGAAATATATATATTTAATTTCTTTGCACCTCTTCCTTTTCCTGCTTTTTTTTACATTACATACTCTCGAGTCAATAGGTCTCATTAGGAATTCTTGTTTCTTAACTTTTTCTAATTATTGAAAGAATAACCGGTACCAATACCTTGTAAGAGAAACAATTACCTAAACTGTCTACATGAAATTAAAGTTATTATTTTATTTATATTGCAGAATGGCATAATTACCAACTAGTCTTTAAATTTATGAATTTTTAATAACTATATACGCATATCACAAAAAAAAACTGAACTCAAAATGAATATATTGTACGCTACTCATTTTGAAGTGCAGCAAAAATGATCTGGTTTGAATCATTTTGAATTTTTCGTGAAATGTTTCAAATTAAACCCGATCAGGTTCATTTTAAGTTCGAGATTAATGTTAAATTATCATGGATAAACAAATATAATTACTTACAAAAATATTAAGTGGAAAAACAAGACATTCAATCTTTCCCTGACGGATTGAAATTATAAACTAGTTCGTGAAAGAACAATTTTTAAAAATTTAAATTTTTAACAAAATGTCAGCAATAACTTTTAACGAAGCTAAAAATTTGTGTTTTTCAGTAATAAAATTAAAATTTGTTATTCAAATGAAAAATTTTTTGTTCACAAACTGGTTATTTATGGGGTATTCCACGGGAAATTTTCATTCAAAATTTTTTTTGCCCCAAAACATTTGTTTTCGGAATGTATATGAAAAATAAGAAAATGTGTATTTTTTTAATTTTTTTATTTGATAAAAATTAAGGAAGTTATGATTTTTAAAAATTTTACATCATCAAAGGCTGTGTATTTTTAAAATATTTTTTTTTTATCTATTGTAAAGTAGAGTG